GAATCATTGTGAGTCCAAAACCATCCTGAGCTACAAAACAAGCTGAAGAACAGCCTGAACTGTATAGCAAGACCCTGTCTCAAAAAGACAAAAAAAAAGGGGCCGGGGAGATGGCTCAGTAGGATAAGCACTTGACTGGCAAACGCAAGGATCTGAGTTCAATCCCCGGTTCTGCAAAAAATAAATAAATAAATAAATAAAGTCCTGCAGTCAGACCGCCCAGCACCTTGCAATATCAAAACTAATCCCTAGTCATGGCCAGACTCACACGAAACCCTTGAAACAATGCTCAAGTACTCTATGTAGTACCAATATAATCTAGAGAAGGTTTTGAAATAACTTTCTAGTTCTAAGAGATTCCAATTCACTGATCCTCCATGAGTTCTTCAGATAGGCTCCTTCTTCACGGCACAACTTGGGTCTGTCCTGAGCCCACTAAATGAATCTGACCTCCATGTGTTCATGTTCTAACACACGGACTAGGAGTACTGAGTCCAGGAAAGACAGTCCTTGATTGAGAGCTGAGCAGCATCCTTTTTATCTGTTGTTCTTGACAAGAGATAATGACTAGGTACAGCAATTTAACTGCTCCAAAACTTCAAGTCAAAACACAGTAACTAGAAAATATTCAACAGAGGAAAAACAAAACCAAACCAACCAACCAAACAAACAAACAGGGTTTACTCCAACTCACTCCTTCTAAGAGATCTAGCATTAGGCTTGCTGCAGAGGCTACTTTTTTAGTTACTATAACAGCTGTCACTCAGAAGCCACAGTGGATCAGAAAAATTAAGCCTTCATGAGTCCCAGAGTCTTCTAGGGACTAGTTTCTTAATTTAGCATCCCTCAAGAACTGGCTGTTCAGCTAGGTGTGGTGGCACACACTTGTAATCCCAGCATTCAGGAAGATGAGGCAGGAGGATCACTGCAAGTTTGAGACCTGCCTGGGTTACGAAGCGTGCTCAAGGCCAGCCTAAAGTGCACTGGGAGACCTTGTCTCAAAAAGATAAAAAATAAATAAATAAAAGAAGTGGCTTTTCAAAGCCTGTTTGACAACTCTCTGGCCAAATACAACTCTCTCCTAAAAATCAATGGGGATCTCTGGTGCCATCATTAAGGGCAATTTCTCAAGGCTTAATCAGTTTCCTGTCTGCTCAAAGGCTGTTGGGAAGCCATAACCAAAGGAATCCTGGCTTTCTGCAGCTCCCCATTCTTGTTCTCTCACCTAGGCTTCAGAAGAACCCCAGAGTTTCAATCTAAGCCAGATGCCCAAATGTGCCCTTCCCCCCAGGTCCCGTCTACCTTAGCTTATAGTCTGGACTGGTCTCAAGGATCTCAAGCCTGGAGTCTATTTGTCTTTACATTAAATCTAACCTTATCATACCATTTTAAAGGTCTCATCTGCATCTGTGGAGCAATTTTACGCTCACGCTGGGAGATTCAAAAACCTGGATTGGACTGTAAATCTAACAAAGCCTATATAGCTCACATACTCAAACTCATCTTTTGGGCTTCCTTCCCCCACTAAGCCAGCAAAACCACCCATAACTAGGGCCTGGTCACTCAGGAAAAGAAAGGGCATAGGCTGGCTTAATCCCACCACTTGGAAGGCTGGAAAAACTAGCCTGGAAAAACCTTACCACATCAGGTTCAGATCTTCCAAACCTGACAAGAGTAAATTCCCACGTGGAACCCCTTCTCAGCCTGGACACTCTGTCCCTCTCCTTCATTCAGGAGTACCTAGTTAAGTGTTCCACGCAAGAAGCAATAGGTTTTGTGCACTCCCAGCAGGCAGTCAGGGAAGGGAACATTCGCCTACAACCCAGCTGGGCTGTGGTAGGGGACCGGGTAAGGGTCGCAAGTCCAGCTACAGCAGGTGGGCACCCTTACCCATGTTGGATCTGGTGCGAGCCAGATGGTGATGCCCATCTCTGGATCTTCGTAGACGGGCGGTGAACATGGGGCTAGGGTCTGCCTATGTCTGCTATAGCTTGTTTGCAAAAGTGACGAGATGCAAGCAACCCAGGCCAGACCGGGAAGGGCCCTAAAAGCCCCATCCGACGGTTAGGAGCAGAAAAAGAGACTGGCCATAGCGCAGGCCGGCGCACCAACCCTGCTACTGCATGGTCCTGATAGGCGCTTGTCTGGCTTTCAGCGTTCCCCACGGCCGCCGCCTCACAGGACCGGCGGGAGGCGGAGCCGCGCGCGACACATGGCCCAGGCCCTGCGCGGCTTCGGGCCGCAGGGAGGGAGGGGGAGGGGCCTCTCGAGGTCTTGCAGCAAAAGCTCCCGGCAGCCCACAGCGCGGGTTCTACGACCCAGTCCCCGACCCGGAATGCTAGCCCCAACACTCACCCGCGGGGCTGGCACGATGGCGGCAGTGGCGGCGGCAACCCAGCGCGGTCTGCGACCGACTGTCCCTTCCCCCCTGCCTTCCCTCTCCCGCCCCGTTGCACTCTGGGAATCGTAGTCCAGAAGCTCTCCTTTCTAGCATTAGAGCGCTAGGCGAAAACTACAATTCCCGGTATGCTACGCGCAGAGGCCCAGACACGGCCCGCAGCGCGGGAGGAGAGGCTAAACCAGGGGTAGAGGCTGCCGGGGCGAGCCCCTGAGAATTGTGGTCTAGCGGAAGCCTCTGGAACACGGAGGTTGGCGCCAGTCAGGGGTCAAGGCTCTCCTGTCGCTCAGTCCCAGCTGGCGTGGCCCCGCCCAAACTGTGCGCTGATGGTTGCTGGCCCCGCCTCTATGAGAGCCCAGTCCAGCCCCTAGCTGGCCAGGCGCCCCTCCCTGGGCCCCTAGGCTTTCTCCTCCCGCGAGCCCCCCTCCCTTAATGGGCTGTCACCACTCCGCTCACTTGTTCGGCTTTTTGAGGCATTATCGCTTTAGTCAGGACGGAACCCACAACTTCTGTTCAAATACTCGGGGCCAGTCGAGCCCTGAACTGATTTCCAGCAACTAGGCCTTTTTTTTTTTTTTTTGGGGGGGGGTCGGAGACTTAAATGCTCCTCAGGTGAAACTTGGGTGGACAGATTACTCTCACATTTATAGAAAAAAAAAAAGGGTTTTCAAGACATTATCATAAATTCTTACCACACACAGCAACTAAGAGCTACTAAAGAGAAATAACTGGCTCGTTTTGGAAGTCTCTGCTATTTAAGGGACCAGATTGTAAATAATCATCTTCCCACCTTTTGCCCTTCACTTTCAATGCCCTTTTCATTGTTTCCTTGGTAACAAACATTTGAAATAAGGCCTAATTCGGCCAAGTCTGGGCTGGGAAAAATAGCTCTAGAGAGCTGAGTGTGGTGGTTCGTGCCTGTAATACCAGCACTGGGGAGGCCAAGGCAGGAGGATCGCGTTGCAAGTTCTAGACCACAGTGGTCAACAAAGTGAGCTCAAGGCCAGCCTGAACTGCATTGCAAGACCCTGTCTCAAAAAAACCAAAAACAAACAAAAAAAATATAAAATAACACCCTCTAGAACAGCAAAAATAGAGGACCACAGGAAAGAAAAATGGCTATGGGGCTCCCAGGCAACTCTTAAGCTTTCTGTAGTAACCAGAGATGCCCCAGTACTCCAGCTCTTCCATAAGTTTTGCACCTTTAACCATTCCTATCCACTTCCTGGGAATGCCTATGTAAGACCAGACTAAGCTTTCTTGGTGATTAAATCCCAGGTCTGTCTAGATCACACTCCGCTTGACTAGAAAAATGCTCTTTAACATTCAGCTATTTGGCTCTGCTTTTCCCATTAGTGGTGCATCTGTGTCTGGGGACTCCCTTGCTCTATGAACTGCATTCCCTCCAACCAAAGTACCACACAGGGTGTGTGCACATAACTCCAGGAACCAAGGAGGTTCCAGAATTGCTGAGAGATTCAAGAGAGCAAAGCACAAACAGATATCCTTTTATCCCTTGGATGAATAAATCAGGAATACACTTGTAAGCCCAACACTCAGGAGGCTGAGGCAGAAAGATTGCCAAGAGTTCAAGGCCAATTTGATCTATATAGCAAGACCCTATCTCACTGCGTGCCCGCGCGCATACACACACACGATAAATAATAAGCATGAACAAGGCCTGAGAAAAAGCTCTGTTCAGGGGCTGGTGAGATGGCTCAGTGGTCTAAAACACCTACTTAGAACAAGCTCAGCTAAAGCACAGGGACCGCAGTTCAATCCCCCAGCACCACATGCCAGCCAGCCCCTCCCCCTGGTGGGCTGAGCTGGCCACACATAGGTAAAGTTCTTTAAAAAAAAAAAAAAAAAGTATCATGTCATCTGCAAATAAAGATAATTAAAAAAGAAAGAAAGAAAGAAAAGAAAATCTCTGTTCAAGAAAAGAGTAAAATGAGACTAACCCAGTAGGGTCCACTTGGCTTTTAATATCTAATTTTCAACCAGAGTTAACCCTTGGAAGACAGAGATCCAATTTTTTTTCCCAACTTGTGACCTATGAAAGATGCTATACTCTGTCCTTCCCTACCAGTCTTGTTGCCTAACAGTGCCAAAGAAACCAGAAAGAAGAGACTGAAGTTTTAGGGTCACTCCAACATGAAGTCACAAGGCAAGTTCTGGAAGAAGTCATATTTCATGGAGCTCAAAGTCTGTGTTCCAACATATATAGTAAAAAGGGATAGCTTTAAAAACAATTTCTTACCAAGATGGCTTTGTATTACCTTGGAGTAACAGATAAAGTCACTCTCAACCCTCCAATAGCCAACCTAGAACTATGAATCAGGAGTCACCAATCCCAACTCCTTAATGCCTTCTGTGGACCCAGCCTTCTTACACTGAAGGTATACCAATCCCAAAGTATCTATACAAGAGTGTAGCTCTAAAAAAAAAAAAAAAAAAAGTGTAGCTCAAAGAGCCATGGCCGATTCTAGCTGTGGTCTTCACTTGTTTATTAAGTACATGTACCAGATATTGTGCTGCATTTAAGGGATGAAATAGTGAACAAACTTCAACTCCAACTGAGAATTTAAGAAATTTAAAACCCTGAAAAGAAAAACTAAATTGTTTAGTTCTCACTTGCATCTTGTTAAAAGAATAGTTGGCTGTGGTGGCACATGCCTGTAATCCCAGCACTTAAGAGGCTGAGGCAGGACTGCTTTGGAGTTCAAGGCCACTGGGCTGCATAATGTGTTCAAGGCCACTCTGGACTATATGCAAAGGCCCTATCTCAAAAACAAACAAACACAGGGAGGAAAAAAACCAAAACAAAACACAGGGAGGGCTGAGGATATAGCTCAGTGGCATCAAGCACTTGCCTGGCAAGTGCAAGATACCAAGTCTGATCCCCGGTACCACAAAAAAAAAAAAAAAAAAAAAAAAAAGGAGAAGCTGAGCATGGTGGCACACCTTTAATCCCAGTACTCTGGGAGACTGAGGTTCGAGGCCAGCTTGGGGTATGTAGTGAGTTCAATGCCAGTCTGAATCACATAGCCAAAGCCTGTTTCAATCTCTCCATTCCCCAAAATTAAATGGCTGAAGATATAGCTCAGTGTAAAGTCCTTGGGTTCAATCTTCAATAGTGAGGTGGGGAGGGAAGATGGGGAAAAAACTTGTGAACAAACTGGGACTACTTGGTGCAGTTTCAAAGTCTTTGGGATGAAATGGGCCAGAAACTCTACAAGGACCTCATAAGGCCTAATGGCTGGTTTATGAAGAAACCTGGTCAATAAAGCACCTCTACTCACAGGGTTGGCCTGGTCTTATAGGCTAAGGCTTATTTTTCCATATTTCAACATTTAGCTAAGTTGTATAAAAATAAAATGCCAAAACCCAAATAAAAACCTTACTTTTTGTTTAATTTGTTTTGCCAAACAAACACAGTGAAAACTTTAGTCTAATTGTACAGAAAATAGAATTTGTAACCAGTAGCAAACATAACAGGATAAACCTAAGACCCTGGCAAGCTGGATCGCCATCAGCAGGTTACCCAGATCCCCTCATAAATGGCCTCCTGGGTAGGGAGGTCCTAAGAGGCAGAGGCACAGATCAACTAGTTCCATCAGAATCACAGACTACACCTGGAAATGGTAAGCATGAAAAGGAGAGAACTGATATTACTTGGATCTCTTATCACTACACACAGCCAAATTGTCTCTGATTGCTGGTCAACCTTAAGGTGTGGCTTTCCCCAACTCTGTCCCCGGGTATCCCACCTGAATCCCTCTGAGGTGTTTCAAGTTCAGTGGTTCTGAAGCCTCTGCTTAACCAGAATCTGCAACTGGGAAAGGAGGGTAGACAGTTATAATTGCTGTTGTCACCAGTGCCAAGTCTGAGACCCCAATCTCCTGTTCAAGAGGAAACAAGTTAAGAGTGCCAGATCCCTAGCAAGATTCCAGCTGCCTTAAGCCTCAGTACTGTCGATCAGAGTATAGAAAAGTCAATATTAGCCTGAGGATTCCTTGGACTGGAGGGAGGAGTTCTGCAGGCCACAGGGAGACCTATTCACATCCCATGCTTCTTACGGATGACAGCCATGGCAAGCAGACGATCCTTCTCACGAAGTTCTTCGCGAAGCTTGGCCTCGGTGAGACGCAGGTGGCGGATGCTACCCTTCATCTCTTTCATCTTCACTTCCATCAGCGCCAGGATGTCCCGTTGCTCATTCAGCTTACGCAGGAGCTCCTCCTCCGTGGTGCCTGACGACAACGAGTATGAATGGTCGGAACCGGTATCGGGGAAGCCCTCTTCACCTACCACCACCAACTGGGGACCCATCGGGCACTCCGCGGCCTCCAGCCCTGCTGTGGCAGCTTCTAGCTCCGATGCTGCGGCTGCGGCGGCTGCGCCCTCTGCGGCTGCAAACTCCACTTGCACAGTAAGGTCGATTGGCTTCACATCGTCTCCAGTGGGAGTGGTGGGTGCTGGTGGACCGGATCCAGGTGCCTGACTGCTGTCTACAGCAGCCTGAAGGGTGAGAAGCACGGCGGCAGAGGCAGACACCAGGTTTGGCTGCAGCTGGGAGGTCTGGGTAGTGGAGACTGACGGCGCCGGCTGCTGCTGTTGCTGTTGCTGCTGCTGTTGCTGCTGCTGTTGTTGTTGCTGCTGCTGCTGCCTGCGGCGGGCAGCCGCGGCCCCCGCAGGTCTGCGCGCTACTTTGCGCTCGTTGACGCCGCGCAGCGGGAAGATGGTGGGAACACGCACCGTGTAGGTCTTGCGGCCGCCCTGGAAGTGAACGCTACAGAGACGGTGGCCCGTGGTGGGCTGGAAAGTGGAGAAGCACCCACTGACGCCAGCACGGGACACATTCTTCAGCCACAGGCGTCGCAGCTCAGCGTCCTTGGGAAACGTATAGAAATGCAGCGCCTTGTCTCGGTGCGAATTGTTGTAGCAGCCCGGTACGCAGCACGTAAAGCCAGGCATGGCTGCGCCGCGCGACTGTGCGCGGCCCACCGGCCTCCTTCGCGCTTCGACGGCCCGGTCTGTCCGCTGCCGCCAGCCCCTCGACGGGCGGCGCCCTGCGAGGACTTAAGCAATCTCCCACTATTGCAGCCTGGCGCAGCCGGCCCGAAAAGGTGCCCTTGCCAGAATACGCCTCGCACCCGACCGCGCTGCGCCGCCGGCCCAGCAGTCAGCCCGCGATCCGGAGTCGGCCCGGGGGACGCAGCGAAGGACCGCCTGGGAAGGAGGACTACGCCCCCCACAATGCACCGCGTCAGAAGCAGCTCACTTCCGGGGCGGTGGCGTGTTTATTCCGTCCGCTTTCCAGGACACTGCGAGACCCCTCGCGGAGCAGACTCTTTTTCCCTACCCGGCTTAGTCCTCGGCGGACGAAGCGTATTTGGTTGGAACCTTGTTGTAGAAAATGTACCTCAGAAGAACCCGGAATCTTGATGGAGGCGATGGGAGGGAGCGCGCGCCTCACCAGTGCGCAAGCGCTAGGAGCATGCTAGAAGACTACAAACCCCATCAGGCTTAGCGTGAATTTAGCGACTGCGGCGTAGAGCGCCGTCTAAGGGAGAGGTTGGGTCACTGCGGATCATGATTCCGGCGCTGTTCGGCTGCCTGCCAGAATTGGTCAGTCCTCAACGCCCAGCGTCTTTGAAAAGACCGCACACCTGTGGGTCGAGGAGGACAAAATCTAGGCCTTGGTGGCCCAAGGACCTCAGAAGCCATTTTCTCTGTACTGGGGACTCTGCTACTCAGCTGCTACCTTTGACTCACTGACCTAAATTAAGTCATTAATAGGCACTTACTATCTGCTGGACACAGTACAGGCAATTTCGTGGAGTCGGACCCATCCAGCATCTCCTTTGAATACTAACTAGATGGGAATGCACATAAAGCAATGTCTGTTCAGAAATAAATGCCACAGGGGGCCGGGGAGATGGCTCAGTGGAATAAGCGCTTCCCTGGCAAGCGCAAGGGCCTGAGTTCAATCTCCGGTTCCGCAAATAAATAAATAAATAAAATGCCACAAGGAATGAACAGAGTAAAGAAGAAAATGAGACGCTGGTGCCCAGGCAGATAAAAAGATGAAAATCAGGGCCAGATCTTGCTTTCCACCACCGTCAACTAGTCTGTAAGGCCCAGAGGCTAGGCCCAGCCTTCCAGGGCCAGGAAGGGGTGGTCAAGATGGAGTCTCCGAAAGTTACCGGACTGAGCCATCTTTCTTTCTTTCTTTCTTTCTTTCTTTCTTTCTTTCTTTCTTTCTTTCTTTCTTTCTTTCTTTTTTTTTGGCGGAACCGGGGATTGAACTCAGGCCCTTCAGCTTGCGAGGCAAGCGCTTATTCTACTGAGCTCTCTCCCCGGCCCTAAACGGAGCCATCTTGAAGGGTTTGAAATTTTATCCTGCAGGTGACTGAGAGTCATTGAAGGTTTTAAGAGAGAACATTTCGGGCAGGGGAAAGAGCACAGTGATACAAGTGACTGCCTGGCAAGTATAATGTCCTGAGTTAGATTCCAGTGCCAAAAAAAGAGAGAGCACGAGAACATTGGCACTATAAGGAGACAGTGCCTTCTCTCGGCTTCAGGATCTTTGGAGGAAATTTTATTTATTTATTTATTTATTTATTTATTTATTTTTGACAGAACCGGGGATTAAACTCAGGCCCTTGAGCTTGCCAGGCAAGCACTTATTCTACTGAGCCATCTCCATGGCAAAGCTTGAAACAAGCCACGTATGTGCCAAACTCCTGCAATCCCAGCTCTGGGAGGGTGAGGAAGGAGAATCATTCCGGCCCAGCCTTGGCAGTTGAGGGGCATAACGTGACCTGTCTCCGAAAAAAAGAAAAGAGGCCTAGAGCTGCAGCTAAGAGCAAAGGCACTGGATTCATTTCAGCAACTCATTTATTTTTTAATTTTATTTGTGGGGGGGCAGCTCAGCCCACCAGGGGGCGCAGCTGGCTGGCATGTGGTGCTGGGGGATTGAACCGCGGTCCCTGTGCTTTGCTAAGCTTGTTCTAAGTAAGTGCTTTAGACCACTGAGCCATCTCACCAGCCCCCAGCAACTCATTTATATACGGTATAAATATCAATATAGAAATACACTTTTGGGGAGGTCTTTTTTTAAAACTTTTTAAAATTTTATTTATTTATTTGTGTGTGTGTGTGTGTGTGGCCAGCTCAGCCCACCAGGGGGGCGGGCTGGCTGGCATGTGGTGCTGGGGGATTGAACCGTGGTCCCTGGGCTTTGCTAAAGCTTGTTCTAAGTAGGTGCTTTAGACCACTGAGCCATCTCACCAGCCCCCCCTTTTTTTTTTAACTTTATTTATTTGATACAGGGTCATGCTACTGTAGCTTGTAGTGATCCTCCTGTCTCAGCCTCCCCAGTGCTGGGATTACAGGTATGCACCTGCCACACCCAGTTTTGGGGCCTGCACTGCATGCCTGGGGTTCCTGGGCCGGCATGGCATGCAATACCAGGGTTCAAAGTGGGGTCCTTGACTTGCCAAGCAGGCACTTTAGACCACCGAGCTATCTTCCCAGCCCCCCCCCCTTTTTTTTTGTGGAACCGGGGATTGAACTCAGGCCCTTGCACTTGCCAGGCAAGCACTTATTCTACTGGGCCATCTCCCCGGCCCCCTCCTTTTTTTGTTTTTGAGAAAAGGTTTCACTATGTAATTCAGGTTGGACTTGAACTCACTGTGTAGCCTGGGCTGGCCTCAAACTTGAAGCAATCGTGTTTCAGTCTCTTAAGTGCCGGAAGTATACATGTTTGCCACTAGGCCTGGTCAGAAATAGGCTGGATTTGTTTTTCGGGTTTATTTTTTTGGATTGAACTCAGGCCCTTGCGCTTGCCAGGGAAGCGCTTATTCCACTGAGCTATCTCCTCGCCCCCTACCCTCTCCTTTAAAAATAAAATAAAAACACTATCCAAATTAAAAAAAAAAAAATTCCTTCCTAGGGGCCAGGGCTCAGTAGAATAAGCACTTGCCTGGCAAGCGCAAGGGCCTGAGTTCAATCCCTGGTTCTGGAAAAAAATAAAAATAAAAAATCCTTCCTACATTCTACAAGATCCCACATAATCTGGCTCTTGACAATTTATCTCACTTCCTTCCCTCTCTCCAACTCAATGTTCTGTTTTGTTTTAAAAAGTCAGCATTCTGGGATGCTGAGTGAGGGAAGAGGTTCTCACTTCCAAGCTAACATAGTTTACTGACTTACCATGACCATGTCTCAAAAAAAAAAAAAAAAAAGCTGGGGATATAGTTCAGTGAGATCTTGGGTTCAGTCCTCAGTACTGCAAAATATATAAACGAGGGGCGGGAGAGATAGCTCAGTAGAATAAGTGCCTGCCTGGCAAGCACAAGGGCCTGAGTTCAATCCCCGGTTCTGGGGTTGGGGGGGGATATGAATGAATAAATGCAGTAGTGGGCACAAACATCAGGCACCAGTAGCCCCAGGTGTTCAGAAAGCTGAGGCAAGAGGCTCACTTGAGCCCAGGATTTGAGGCATATTGGGCAATATGCACGGGCTGGTGAGATAGCCCAACGGACTAAGCATCTTTTAGGAAAGCGCAGGGACGGAGTTCACCCCAGATACCACAGGCATCGAGGACCCCCCACCCCCTTGGCGAGCTGAGCTGGCCACGGAGACGGGGAGTGGTGGCACACGCCTGTAATCCCAGCAGGGGAGGCTGAGAGGAGGATCGCTACTGGTCTGAGCCGCGTAGAGACCCTGTACCAGATATATTAAAAACAACAACAAACAAAAACCAACCCCGTGGTGGCAAAAGCCTGCAGTCTCAATACTCAGGGAAGTTGAAGCAGAAGAATCACAAATTTGAGCCCAGCCTGGGCAATTTAGCGACTTAGTGAGACCCTACATCGAAAACAGAAAAAGGGCTAGCTGGGAAGCGCTGAGTTCAATACTTAGTACCAGAAGGAAAAGAAAACCCTTATCAGGTGGGTATCATTCGCGATTTGTAGATGAGAAAATCAAGACATTGACTAGGTGCTACATTTGCTCAGTCTCACGTTTCGGTAAAGCTGCCTGGAGAGCCAGATTTTGCAACCGACCGCGCGCAGCGTCCGCGGTATAGCGAGAACTACAACTCCCGTGAATCTCTGCGGCACTATCGCGAGACTTATCTTAAACGTGGCGGCGGGAACGCAACACTACTGTTTTCCAGGCAGTTAGGAGGGCAGCTGAGAGAATGGCGAACAACTTTAGTCCTGACAGCGAGCCCACGGCACGTACGCTGTTGCGCCGCGTGCTAGATACAGCTGACTCCTGTACCCCGCAGCGACGCAGGAGTGATCGGATTAGGTATGCGAGGGCGTTGCATGAGCAACTAGAAAGACTGGGGAGTAGGATCTGGGTGGGAGCCAGCGCCGAACCTATGGAGAGGAAATTGAGTTCGGGAGGAGCAGAGGCAAAGTCTTGAGAATTGGTTCCACTTCTCTCTACCGGGGCTCGAATCAGCTCTTTGTGTCTGCACCCCTGGAGACAAAGGATTCTCCGTTCTTTAGCTGTTTTCCCGACTATCTCACGATATGCCATGCCCCGACATTTGCCCCTACCGGACACTAGGTAATTACTACTTTTCCTTGGACGTTCATTTTTACATTCTCTGTGGCTCCCAGCTGAACAGTGGGAAAAGGGCTGGAGAGCACAGCCTGCACCAAAGTCAGGAGGCAGGAATCGGAAAGATGCTTTGCAAAGGAGTAGGAATTTGTCCTGACTTGGGCGATGGTAACCTCGTGAGACAAAGGATGCAAAAGTTGACAGTGGCCCGAATGGTACAGTGCAGTTCTTTTCCTTATAAGTAATGGGAAGTTAGCCCAGTGTGGTGACACATCCCTATAATCTCAGCACTCCAGGGGGATGCTGAGGCAGGAAGATTGGAAGTTTGAACTCAGCCTAGGTTTGAGATCTTGCTTCAAAGTTAGAAATTAAAATAGGGTGGGAAATGTAGCTCATTGCAGAGGTCCTCAGTTTAACCTCCAGTACAGAAAAGAAACAGCAGTCATTCATGACAGGTTTTATTTATTTATTTATTTATTTTTAATTTTATTTATTTATTTATGTGTGTGTGTGTGTGTGTGTGTGTGTGTGGCCAGCTCAGCCCACCAGGGGGCGGGCTGGCTGGCATGTGGTGCTGGGGGATTGAACCGCGGTCCCTAGGCTTTGCTAAGCTTGTTCTAAGTAGGTGCTTTAGACCACTGAGCCATCTCACCAGCCCAGGTTTTATTTATTTTTTATTTTTTAAAATTTTTTTGGCGGAACTGGGGATTGAACTCAGACCCTCGCACTTGCCAGGGAAGCACTTATTCCACTGAGCCATCTCCCCAACCCCCATGACAGGTTTTAGAACTGTAAATGATGATGTGGGAGCTGTGCCTGTGGAACGTTTCCTTTGTGTGTCTCTGAGGGAGATTGGACTAAATAGACAGGGCTAGGGTGATTGCTGTCAAACGCTGACTAGTACTTAAAAGGATTAAAATATGTAAATATCCTTTTTGGGTTGTTACTTTAATGGATTGGGTTATTTTCCATTTGCTCCTCTAGGCTGTGTGGCTAACCCCTACTTTGATTTATGTTGCTGCAACAGTCACCTCTGTGAAATCTTCCTCATCCCCTTCTCTTCTGACTGGGACAATCATATTTCCTCTTTTCCCAAACCCTGCTTCCTCTGTTGATGTGTGTCTGAGAACAGGGATTGTGTGAGGCACAGTGGTTTCTGGGTTCCTGTTCCCACCTAATGGACTTTAGGACAGATCCCTGGTAAAGACAAGTCTCTGAATCCTTTAGGCCCTATGCAAGTCTCAGAACTGTTTGTTGGTCTTTACATAGTGCTCAGAGAACCCTGCTTGAAACACCTTCCTCCAGGAGGCGGAGTATCCAAACAAAGGTGACTGCCAGGCAGCGTTCCCATGGAGCCAGAGTAAGTGTCCAGCCCACTCACCATGATAGAGTTCCTGCCTTCGGAGTCCCGAAGTCTACTTGTGCACTGAAACCCACCATGAGAGAGAATCTCAAGGCAAAAAGAACAGACTGGTTACATGGTGGTTTTGTTCACAGTCTACTGGCAGATTGGCTCATGGTCAAGCTGGTGGGCAACTGGAGGAACAGACACCTCGGACCCTGCTGAAGAACATCCTATTAACTGGTGAGAGGGTACTTGCCTGATAGTTAGGCCCCAGCCCAACACCAGTCTGGTGGTATATACTACAGTCTGTCACGTTGACCACTTTTTCTCCATGGTGTTTCTGCAGCCCCAGAATCTTCTATTGTGATGCCACAGTCGGTGGTGAAACCAGCACCAGCACCACAAGTAGTCCAGCCCTCTAGACGGAAAAGCAGTCAGAGCAGGTGCACAGGGAACACCTCTTCTTGGCTGGGCTGTTGGGTAGCTTTGGTCTGGGAGCCTCTTAGGGACCTTAGAGATTGGAAAGGGAAGAATTTCCTTCCTTGCCTGAGACTAGCTCTCTCCTTATAGCCTAGAACTACAACTTCCTGAACTCGAGCCCCCTCCAACCCTGGCTCCAGTCCTGCTGGGCTCTGGCAGAAGGAAACAGAAGCTGAGATTGTCAGTGTTTCAGAAGGAAGTGGAATGGGGACCCCAGGGATTACCTGTCTCCCAAGGTGAGGCTTAGGATACCACCTGTTGCTATCTTCTCTGTCTTGTCCTCTGGAGAGGCTAAGGAGGCCTGAGAAAGGACTTTTATGAGCCTGGTTAATTTAACCATGGTTTCTTTTTATATCCTCTTACATGTCACTGGCAGAGCCTCCTGGGAATCCTGATGCCTCGTCCCTTACCAGGTACTGTTGTCTGTTCTGGGGAGGTGGTGGTGGAGGAGAGGGTTGGAGAGCAAGGTGCTAACTGATGGAACCTGGCCATACTGCTCTGAGCTGCTTTTAGCCTCACAGCATAGCCACATGCTAAGACATGAGAGCTTCAGAGCAGATGAGAGAGTCCTCTGGGGAAACTTGCCTGTACATACTTGGCTTTTCTTTGTGCTTCCTCTGTTCCACAGCTCCCTCAACCTGACCTTTGCCACACCTCTTCAGCCACACTCAGTGAGGAAACCTGGTTTGGCCCGCAGACCTCCTACCCGCCGTGCTATCGATGTGGGTGCCCTTTTGCAGGATCTGCAGAATAATTCCTTGGCCTCAACTCCTCTAGGTAAGGTTGAGTTTTCTCCTTTCAGCCTTTGGAGAAAGATATCACTTATGGTAGGTATGAAGTGCTGCTGAGTCTAGGCATACACCTCTTTTGGTGTGGTCAAGGACAGTGAGTGAACCTGATCCAAGGTCTACCTCAAGGTGCCCTTATCTTGGTGGGGCTCAGTCTTAATGTATTTGTGTTTTATAAGACTTCATGTTCTTGGGGCTGGTGAGATGGCTCAGTGGTCTAAAGCACCTACTTAGAACAAGCTTAGCAAAGCACAGGGACCTCGGTTCCATCCTCCAGCACCACATGCCAGCCAGCCCTGCCCCCTGGTGGGCTGAGCTGGCCACACACACACACACACACACACACACACACACATTAGGAAAAAAAAATTAAAAAAAAAAAAGACTTCATGTTCTTAAGCTACAGGGCTAAGGATGGGAAAGTGGTATGTTTTGGTGCTAGAGCTGCTGGAAAGTTGGAAAAGGGTAGGTTTCATGATCAGGTAGCCAGTTAGAGCTGACCTAAGGACCTGGTTCCAGAAGACAAGTTCACTAGGATAGGAAGGCCATTCTTGGCAGGGGAAGAAGTGGAAAGTAGAGATATGGGGAAGCAGTTGTGGGATGATGAGGGTGTGGGCAAGGTGTGGGAGACCTGGAAATGCTACCCAATGAGCAAAGGTAAGCAAGGAGAACTGCAGGAGGGAAATAAGGCTTAGAACCTAGGTCATTTCTCTGAGAAAGCCACTCAAGCAGGGCAGGTCCAGAGTGTCTACTGTCTGGACCCTGGCAACTCTGGACATTAGCAAATAGTCTTAGATATACTTAATGTCTGATGGACCTTGATCATCAGTTGACAACCTCAGAGCTCCTGTTGCTACTCTGCCAACAGACATTGTGTTAGAGGATACCCAGCCTTTCTCACAGCCCTTGGTTGGCCACTCCCCCAATGTGCATTATTCCCTGCCACATCCTTACCCTGGACCTGAAGATGCTGAGGGGACTGTGCATCACAGAACACAGGGTAGCATTCCTGAGCTGCAGAACCACAGTGAGTATGTGGGGCACATGGCCTGGGGCTACGTTTAGCTTAGGGAGAGTTGTCCCTGGTGGCTTTCTCTCCTCAACCCCATGTGAGTACCCTAGATCCCCTGGCTAGGGGTCCTTCCTCTACTGAAGAGCATAGTCAGTATTGAGCCAGGAGAGTGTAAATTATTGCCTGGTACTGTCTGACTTAAATTCTCCTCAGTGAATTAGGCTGGCTTTGTTATTCCATCTTGCCCTTCTCAGAATTACAGCCTGAGCCTGCTGATCCTCTAGAGATGACAGAAGCAGAGGGATCCAAGAGGGCTATGGAGGCTAAAAACCCAGAAGAATCTTCAGGAGATGAGGACATCTCTGACAGGCCAGGTAAAAGGCCAAGTGTGAGGAGATCCCAGAGGACTGTGGAGCCTAAAATCCCAGAAGAATCTTCAGGGGATGAGGACATCTCTGATAGGCCAGGTAAAAGGTCAAGTGTGAAGAGATCCCAGAGGACTAGGAGGCCTGAGGAGCCAAAAAGATCTTCAAAGGATGAGGACATCTCTGACAGGCTAGGTAAAAGGCCAAGTGTGGAGAGATCCCGGAGGGCTGTGGAGCCTGAGGAACCAGAAAGATCTTCAGAGGATGAGGACATCTCTGACA